AAAAATGTGGGAAGCTGGGATAAAAACCCGAAAGGGCACCTAGGCAAAATGAGAGAACGAGAGAAAGTATTTTCTTTTATTTCTGCAGGATCCTAAGGGTAATGCAAAAAAAAAACGGGGGTTGAGGTTGATAAAGAAATATGGAGTTGAAGACCCTCTTTACTGTTATATTTTTGGGGATATACTTTATGTGTTTCTAAAAACACTCGTGGATGTGTGTGTTGATATTCTTGTCATTTTAAGGACTTCTTGGACCGGATTTGATTTACTCGAGACGAGTAAAGGTTTAAGTGTGGGGGTGTTTGATGCACACTAATTAGTAGTGCATAATTATATATTTTTATGTTTGATTTATGTTGATTGTTTGATGTTTTATTTAGTTTGTGAGCATTTATGTGATTTCACTTGTAATGGTATTTTAGTCTTTATTTATAAGTTGTAAAGTTTAGTTAGGATTTGTGGTGTTGGAAAGGAAGACTTTGAAGAGAAGAAAACAAGAAATTTGACTGCCTAGGAGTAAAACCCGACCGGGTAGAAACCCCCACCCGGTCGGGTATGATTTAACGGACGAAATTGCCAAGAAAGTCACTGGACCCGGTCGGGTCCCCTACTTGACCCGGTCGGGTAAGATGTGACCCGGGACAAAACGACGTGCGAAGATCACCAGAACGTGACGGATTATCTGATTTTGACCGGACCCGGTCGGGTAAGTACTTGACCCTTTCGGGTACCCGACCAAAGGTGTTGAAAAACACCTATAAATAGCACACTTTTTCTTCTCTAAAAATCATTCCTTCTTCCATACTCTTAAGCTCAGTTTAGAATAACATTTCTTTATATTTTTCTAGCTATGTTTAGTCTCCAAATGAGGAGCTAAACTTCTATTCTTGGTTTTGCTCTTGAAGCTTGTTGATTATTAAAGTTGGGAGTTATTTTCTTAACTTCTTCTCTTGATTATTAATTCTTCCCTTAATCTCATTCTATATTAATGTTGGAGGGTTGCTAAGTGACGATTAGTTAACGTTCCGACATTAATTACTACTAGAAACGATCAACGAACCGATGGTTAATCGTTGGTGGTTTCACAAGTAAGTAACTTCGGTTTATTAATGCACGGTCGTGGTTAATAAACTTAAGAGGGATCAATTTTGTTGGTTAAACCGAGACCGTTGTGTTAAGGTTATCAATCTCAATAGTAAGGGTTGTTAATGAACGGTCGTTGTTAATAACTACCCTCGATGAATTGGAGATACTCCTCGATTGAGTATTCGAGAGGGGATAAGTTATAGATATGACAAGGATCAACTAAAATATATCAACAAGTGGAAAGTAGCAAAGTCAAGTCCCTTTTATTCTTGAATTAAACACATATAGGTTGTTCATCTTAGTTTCTTAATTAAATTAAATCATTCAAAACCAAAATCCCCCTTTTTAATTACTAGTTTCATAAAAAGAGAATCATTCATTTCCTTGTTGATACGAACTCTACTACGCTATACTACGTATAAGTGTTTAGTATTGAATTTATTTTGACGCACTGTGACAAAGTGCTCGTCTAACAACAAGATACCAACAAGTTGGAGGAAGAGTATTCTTATCCCCTTATTTAAGAATAAAGGTGATGTACTAGAATGTGCCAACTATCGAGGAATTAAGCTTATGAGTCACACCATGAAACTTTGGGAGCGAGTGATTGAGCAAAGACTTCGAAGAACTGTGAAGATTTCAGAGAATCAATTCAGTTTTATGTCTGGTCGCTCAACAAATGAGGCCATTCATCTTCTTCTGCAACTTATGGAGAAGTATAGAGACGCTCATAAGGATCTGCATTTGGTGTTCATTGACTTAGAAAAGGCATATGATAGGGTACCTTGAGAAGTTCTTTGGTGGGCCTTAACTAGGAAAAGCATATCACACAAGTATATCAGCATCATCATGGATATGTATGAGGATTGTACTACAAATGTCTGTACTAGTGTAGGAAGGACTGAAGAGTTCCCTATTACTATCGGAGTGCACCAAGGATCGACTCTGAGCTCTTTCTTATTTGCCATAGTCATGGATGAACTTACGAAGTCAATTCAAGGCGATATACCGTGGTGTATGATGTTTGCCGACGATATTGTATTGATTGATGAGACGCAATCAGGTCTTAAAGCAAAGTTAGAAGTATGGCGACAAACATTGGAGAATAAGGGTTTCAAACTAAGTCGGAGCAAGACAGAGTACATGGAGTGCAAGTTTGGTGGAGGTAGAAGCAATGGTTATAGCAGAATTACTCTGGATGGTAAGGAGATACCAGTTAGCGATATGTTCCGTTACTTGGGCTCCATAATTCAGAAGGACGGTGAGTTAGATGGAGATGTATCCCATAGAATCAGAACATGGTGGATGAAGTGGAAGAGTGCGTCAGGATTTCTATGCAATCGAAGCATGCCTACTAGACTGAAGGGTAAATTTTATAGGACGGCAATTAGGCCTGCATTACTGTATGGCGTAGAGTGTTGGACGGTGAAACAATGTCACATTCAAAAGATGAGTGTGGCAGAGATGCGCATGCTGCGTTGGATGTGTGGACATACTAAGGAAGGACCGCGTGAGGAATGAGACAATAAGACAAAGGGTGTGAGTAGCACCTATTGAAGACAAGATGCAGAAGTCACACCTATGGTGGTTTGGACCGTTTGGTCATGTGCGTAGAAGACCGAGTGATACACATGTCAGATGAGTTGAGATGTGTGGAGAAGAGGCAAAGAAGAGAGGGAGAGGAAGACCCAAATAGACGTGAGTTAGGGGAGTTCGAAGTGAAATGCTTCTTCTGGGGTTGGATGAGGGCATGACTTTGGAGAGAGTTAAGTGGAGGGCAGGTATTCGTGTGGAGGAGTGATCTCGTATCATCTTTTTCCCTTATCTTTTTTCCTTGTTTTTTATCCTTATATATATAAGCATTAGCTGTATCCTTTTTATTTTTATCATTTTTATGTATATTCATCTCTTTTTATATTATCTTTTTATAATAGCTTATCTTTTTTATCTTTATTTCCTTTCTTTTCCTTTTGGTGGTGATATCATGTATCGTTTCATGTTAGCCGACCCCAATATCTTTTGGGACTAAGGCTTGGATGTTGTTGTTGTTGGTGTAATTTGGTCTGATTACTTTTTGTTTGATCTGATATAATCTGTTTTTGAAGTTTTTACTTCGACTTATTTCAGTCCTAGACAAGATCGTACCTGGCCAAACCTGACTAGACATAAATAGACTAGACCTCGAAAATTATAAAATACTTAGAAACCATATATCATTCTAATAGACAATACAAGATCACATCAGACCATAAAATTTCAATCCAAAAAAAAATCCTTAATCTGGTCTGCTATGAAATGTCATTATATATTATTCATATATTATAATCCGTATATAATTTATTTGTATTCATTTATCATAAATATTCTCTCGACTTATCATACATTTTTAAAGAGTAGATAAAATGAAGATATTCAATTCAGAAACTACATTAAAAGTTTTATAAAGTTAATAAATGAAAACTTAATTTTAATAAAAGTTGGATATATAAAGTAAAATTAAAGATTATAAAGCAGTTTACATTGACCATAGAGCATTGTTCTATTCTCTGGTCAATGTAAAATGCTTTATAATCTTTTACTTTATGAGCCCGTTTGGTAGCACTAAAATCGGCTGATTTGGCTGATTCTGCTGAAATTTATAAAGTTCTGGCTGAAGTGGCTGTATTGGCTGATTCTGCTGATTTAAGAAAAAATTATTTTTAAAATATATTTTATTAATAAAATAAAGAAAAAGTTATATGTAAAAATAGCTAAAATGGTCATCTACAACAACTTCAGCCAATACAGCCAGAAAAGTAACTTCAGCCTTACTTTTTCTGCTTATTACACAATTCAGCGCGCGAAAGCAAAAGTTACGTGTTTGGTGAAAAAGTTGGCTGATAAGCCTGATAAGTCAAAAAACAGTGTTGCCAAACGGCCTCTATATATCCAACTTTTATTAAAATTAACTTTTCTTTTATTAACTTTATAAAACATTTAATGTAATTTTTAAATATGTATATATTCATACTATCTTCATATTATCTTCTGTTTATAATCTATTGTTAATTAATTTAATAATTTATTATTAAAAATAATAAAATTCCTCGAAAATATTGTACACTATAGTATATTTTCTTGATTTGTGCTGTATATCTTCTATAAGTAAAGAGGGAAAACGTTATTGTATGATATAAAAGATAAAATAGGTTTTGCAATACTTACAATCTTTATAATATACGCATTAAAAAATGTATGATAAGTCGAGAAGATATAGATTTGGGAGGAATTTTCTTAATTTTAATAATAAATGAATAGAAATAAACTATATACAGATTATAATATATAAATAATATATAATGACATTTCATAGCAGACCAGATTAAGGTTTTTTGTGCTTGAATGAAATTTTATGGTTTGATCTAATTTGATTTGGCCTGATCTGAACTGGTCTTATCTTGTTTGGTAAATGTCCGGTTTCCGAGTAATTTATAATTTTCGAGGTCTAGTCTATTTATGTCTAGTCAGGTTTGGTCAGATCAAATCTTGTCCAGGACTGAAATAAGTCTTATTAAAAACTTTTATAACATATCAGATCACAAAAAATGATCAGACCAAATTACACCAAATCAAAAAAATTCAAATCAACATCTTAACTCTGGTACCACATTTAGTTAGTTAAGTTGTCACGTGTTTGATTATTTAAGACATTTGTTCACAAAAAAATACATGAGTGTGACATGGTTGTTTAATACTTTAATTATTTAAGACAGTTACTCACATTTTTTTCCTTCAAAAAAAATCTGGGGTGTATTTGCATTTATCATAAGTGCTCAAGACATATCATGGCAATTAACTTCTCCGTACGGTCACCGTTAGAGAAGGGGAAATGCCCTCTTTTAAGGGAATAAGGAGATTTTTGCACCAAAATTACACATTTGCGGACTTACATGCCCTTTAGTGACAATTCTAGGGGTGGTTTTGCTCCTTTTCCCTAATTATTTACTAGTACTACTACTACTACTTTGTTTCTCTAGCTCCTTTGTCTCTCTCCTAAGGATTCAAATATGGGTTTACAAAAGCACAGACGTGGAAGAGTACAGTACTGGCTCATATATCTATCTACCCAGATTCAAAATGGCTCTTCCATTCTAATCTCAAAGCAAACAATACGCAGAGGGTCTCAAACTTCATAGAGCAGGCAAGCCAGAGGTTTTAAAAAATTCAGAGCAAAACACTCGCACAACAATCTGATACATGATGAGTGATGACTATGATGACCAGAAGCACCAATCCAATGCAATGCTCAAAATTTCTCGCTATGGTCCCTAGACTGAATTTTAGAACATTCCAATGATATAGGATAATGAGGCATGCGTCATAACACTGCCAAAACACTTAACATATGTTAGTATCGCGGAAGATAATAAGGAAATGATAACAAAGCAAAGCAAAATTAGTTTCTTATGTTTTGTGTTAACTTTAAAATGCAAAAAAAAGGAATATAATCAATGCCTTTTTATATAAATTTTGGATCCTACACTCTCCCTCCCACGCACATTCATCATCTGTCAGGGAGAGGAGAGACTCCTTTCTACAAACATCAAGCATCATACTTCTAGTATGTGCACCTCTACTCTAAAGTAGAAAAGAAAAAAAACTCATTACTGAGTAGTAGCATAGTTGTAGTCCTACTAGTGTATACAAAGTATAAGATAACAAGCAGTCTCATCTTGGAATTCCAATTCCTTCTTCAGTGACAGTATGAAACGTTTCTTCTTCAGCAACTGTTCCATTTCCTGCTTCATTGTTGCTCTTCTTTGCTGGAGGTCCTCTGGCTACTAGCATGCCATCACCACCAAAAGTCTTGGGTTTCGCATGGTCAACAAAGATAACACGCCCATGTAGAGGCTACAATCATTCATGAATATGATGATGATGCAAAGTTAATAAGCTGAAGAGAGTCAGTGTATGCATATATTCATACATGTAGGTGCAATTGTGCAACACCATCGCCACCTTCTCCTTCTTTACATGACCTAAATCTTCGCTATTAATTGAAAACTACAAACTTAACCTAGTAGGGAACATTCTTCAAGGTGGCTAATTAAATGAATTAAGAATATAAATAACTAATAAACATGTGTTACATGTGAACATAGATAAGACCGTGATCCACATGGTTGGAAATAAAAATAAAAAATTCAAACTTTTTAAAGATTTTAAAAGCTTTGAAGAACATATAAAAACTTATAAAGCTTTTTAAAACAGGTAGTATAAAAATACACAGTATAAAAACAAAAACAAAAAAATATATCCGCAAAAAAGAACTGCGAAGGATTTGTGTTTTATGTGTGTTCAATGGTTAATATGGAATTTCATTGTCAATTTAAGTTTTATGATGGCCTTCCAGTCGAATAATGAGATGAAATTCCAAAAAATTGTCATTATCAGAGCTGTCCATTTGGAAGGGGAGCCTTGGTGCACCGGATAAAGTGTTACTGTGTGACCGAAAGGTCACGGGTTCAAGTCTTGGGAGCGGACTCTTGACAAAATTTGACAGGAGAGGACTCACCCCTTGTACACCCTTGTGGTGGGACCCTTCCCTGGACCCTCACCTTGTGGGGATCCCATTGTGCACCGGACTGTCCAGGGTTATCCATGTGCATGTAATTGTATCCTGAGAGAGCGATGTATGTGCATCTTGTGTACATATAGAATCTACAAACATATGGAAAATGAGTATACATACCTTCCCATTCATTTCTCTCAGGGCTCTATCTGCTTCATCTTGTGATGCATAAGTGACAAACCCAAAACCCTTTGATTTTTCTGAGGTTCTATTAGTGACTATTTTAGCTGAAAACAAAAAATACACACATAAGGAGGTTATGCTCTTGTTCAGCTTTAAAGAATAAGCAGTGTATCTTTTTTCGCCTGACGGACACACCTTCAATGACTTGGCCAAACTGAGAAAATGCATCTGACAACACCTTTTCTGTGGTGTAAAATGAAATACCTACACCATTACAAAAAAGAAGAAACACAAAGTAGATCAAAAAAGTTTGCCCGAATAGAGGTACTGTGCATATGGTCAATTACAATAAACATCAATAAGCTGAAATAGCCATTTGAAGAAATTACGAAAAGGAAGAAAATTTATAGAACACGTGTTCAGTAGAGACAAACACAAACACCACATATCATTCTATAAACGACAATTCAAATAACTCAATGACTTATGTTAGCACACATTAGCAGATGAATTATTTATCAAAAGATATGCTAGTACTAATTTGGGTATATATTGAAATTGCTTGGCTATCAATTTATAGTTTGTAAAAGTTGGGGATTATTTTTGTTCTATAATGAATAGTCGGTGTTATTTAAAATTGCTTTCCCATGGAAGAGAGATAACTTCATGTTTATTAAAAAAACATGAAAAATAACCACATTTCTGTAAGGCCATATTGGTTAAATTGAAGGAGCATATTATTAAACATGTAAACATAAAACATGATTGACACAATCAAATTATTTCCATCAGTAAAACCAGGGAGCTCACTAACCATCACATCATTTATCCAACACACCAGAATCAAGAATTTCTTGTCATCATTGACTAGGCAATAGTAATCATTTTTTCTAAGGCCTTGCTAAATTTTTCCTATTTAAACAAAACCATTTACCATGAAAACTAGTAAAAACATATTTTGCTAATTGATACAATGTATTGCAACTAATTGATGCATCATACTCCAGCACTCCACAAATCTAATCCTAAATTAGCTAGCTGATGATTATGAGCAAGTAGTAGAGAGAGACCTCCGACGAAGAGCTTGGAAGCAATGCCTCTTCGAGAAAGAAAGAGATACGAGGGTTGTGGGGAATGAGTGAGAACATTCTGTAGCCTTCTAAGAGCAGCCATGCTTCTCCCTCTGTTCTTGCGCGCGCGGAGAGAAGAGCTTAGGGCATTCCCAATTTCTGAATCAAGAATTTAGTGGTTAGTGGTAAATACGGAGCAATTGTTTAGCTATAATTGATACTCCCTTTGTTCTTGCTTTTCCAAGTATACCCCTACTTTATGTCAAATCAAACAAAAATTGGGTAAAAAGTAAAGTTATTTTTGACCTTTTGGTCAAAAGTAGTTTCATTTTATAGAAATGAGAACTTCTTTTTGGGACATCCATAAAAGGAAAGTGAGAACTTTTTTGCGAGACGGAGGTAGTAATAAACAATAGTAAAAACCCATAAAAAATGGATACCTTTCCCACCTCCCCCACCGCCTCCCAGAACCAACACCCTGATCGGTGAAATTTCTGCCACTTTTTGTAAAAAAAATGTCACCTTTTTCTAAAAATGCCAAGAAAATGGCATAATTACTCTTCAATATGCCATCATTTTCATTGAATATGCCATCATTATGGCATTTTTTAAAATGTTAACACATTTTCTTCGGTGAGGGCAGCTGGTGGTTGTGGCCTGTGGGGAGTGGCAGAGGTGGCGATGTTTTTTTAACATTTTTAATATTTTTTTTTTGAAAATTTTTATTTTATAAATATTTTATAATTTTTTTGATATTTTTTTACGTTTTTATTATTTTTTCACGATTTTTTATTATTTTATTATTAATTAAAACATTTCAAAAGCTACAAGGATATATTTGTCCAAACACATTTAAATAGTTCTATTGGGGGATTTAAAAATCTAATCCTATGTGCAATTTTACCACTTGTTAGTCCTATTCAGGAAATTGACCCATAATTAACTAAAATGATGTAGATTAGACTTTAATCACATACACTAAGATAACGAGTGAAACTATAACCCAAACTACATGCGATCATATGTAAAGAACTTTGTAATGCATTATCTTGATTCGATTCCACGATAGTTCTTGAACTTTTTATATGACCCAAACTGATTTCATTAGTTACATTTCTTATAAGTTATAACTAGGGAAGGACTCGGGCCGGGTGGCCCGACTCGGAACCGGCCCGGTGGCCCGGTCAGTGACCGGTCCGGGTAGGCCCGGCCCGTGGGTTTTCCGGTCCGGGCTCGGGTCACCCAAAACAAGGCCCGACCCGGCCAGGCCCGGGCCCAATTCGGGCCAAAACCTATTTTTTTTAAATTTTCGGGTTGGGCTGGGTATTTGAGGTGGTTTGGGGGGTTGGGGGTGGGAGGGGGTAAATTAGGAAGAGGAAAACAAAAAAAAATTGATAATGGGCCCGGGCCGACCCAGACCCGGTGGTTACCCGGACCGGTCCCGGGTCCACCATTTCTGAACCACCAGCCCGCCCGAGCCTAGGCCCAACCCGGACCCGGCCCGGACCCGAGTCCATCTCTAGTTGTAACGTATTCAATAATATATTGAGTAAAAATAGAACCGGACTCGAGCCTAACTAAATAAGGAAAGTTGACACAATTTTATAGGAGTGATAATGTGATATAGATAAACCTTCCTTAGAGAAATTAATAAATAAAAATTAGCATGATAAACAATAATAAATCTCACGAGTCATGACTTTTTAATACGGAGTATAATATTTTGAGATGCCTTGCACGGAGTAATTAATTAAAGAATGCACCCAAAAATTAACAATATGGTATAATTTGCGGTATAATTTGCAGTAAAATGGACGTCAAATTAACTAAAAAGTTGTAACGGAAATGCGATACAGTATTAGAGAAAAAACTGGCACACCACAAGTAGTAAAAGAGCAGTTTCAAATCATCTTTTCCAAAGACAAAACAGTCCAGCCAACCAAATCAATCACATTCTGTGATGCCCAAAGGTTGATAACATTAAACTCCGACCCATATACAAACAACTTCACACTCGACTTTCACCATAAGATTAAAACATACGAAACTACAAATGAATTATGTGTTCTCCCTCTGGTCCACAGAGAAGGCAGACAAAACCTTTAAATTAAGGAAATACAGAGAAAAAATGATTACACATACTAATGCACCCATCTCCACCCGCCTGGAGTACATATGCATAATGGTCATAAACAAATGAACTCAGAAGTTGATGATGCCACCATTGTTCATTAATTAGTACTCTCAAGGTTGGTGTACTTTTGACAATGTCTGGTAGACCAAGTCGATAAACTGATTGTCCTGTCATCAGAAACAAAAAAATGAAGACAGTAAAGCATCAAAATTTCATCATCATGAGAAAACTGGTTTTATATCAATTAAACAAAAAGTTCATTATATACCTGAACTAGCATTAGAAGTGCATCTCGGACTTTTTCTCTGCTTAGTGTCACATTAATAGGAGTGGGGTTAGAAGTGAGTGAGAGGGGCGGTGTAGGAGGGGGGAAGGGTTGAAGTATTGGTGCACCATGTGGGCGCTGTTGAGTCAGAGGAGGAGGATTAATAGAAGGCATTGTTTGGATAGAGGTGGGGATAGGGTTCATTGGCAATGCGGGTGACATAGGAGGAGGTGTGAAGAAAGAAGAAGGCTTGAGAAGAGTAGCAATCTGGTTGGTTTTGTTCATCCGGTCAGTGCCATCATGCAGAGACAAAAGTGATGGAGCAGCTGAATGAGGAGTAAGAGTTGGGACATGTGGTGTGGGGCTGGGTACACGTGCAGTTGGAGCTAAGGTTTGCGCAGAAGTATAGTATATTGGCCCAGTATTTGGAAGCTTAGACGAGTTGACACCTATACTCGTGGCCGCCTGCAAGAATTCAACCATTATTATTTACATATGCTTAAGCTGCATTTGGTTGCTGGAAAATAAGTTATTGTAGAACATGTTCTTCACAAAAATAATGTATTATATATATCTGTATTACAATATGATAATGAATGTATAATCACAGGAAAGTCAGGACGAAAAGAAGAAACGAACAGAGCCTTAATGTATCCATTCACTTCTTGCATCTATTACCATTCACGCAGACACGCACTAGATAAAACATAACATATTACTCGGTTACTCATCATTAGACAGTTACACTTCATTTCTTGTCTAAAAAAGCAGTTCTAGGGGCTGGGTATGTTTCCTCAAGTATTAGCCGGGCAATTGCCAAAAACACCTTTACTTAAAAAAAGAATGTTGATAAAGACTCACTATTTCTTGAATTTGGAATATCATGGAATAAAGCAAAATGGCTCACTAAACTGTCTCGCTTCTTTGTTATGAAACAACAGTCAATCCATGCAAATTTTGACGCGATTTTCGTCTTGGGTCATTCGGAAACATCCTCTTTGTGCTTTAGTACCGGGTTAAGGCTGTGTACATCCAACCCCGCCTTACCCCACCATAGGTTGGAGCCTTTGCAGCATTAGGGTAATGTTGTTGTTGTTGTGTACTTAAAAAAAGAATGTTATGTTTTCATATTTCCAAACTTTGATGTATCTAACAGAACATGTATCCTTAAAAACTTGCTAAGTTTCAAGCTTGTGGATAGTCTCCCCACTTAAAATGGAGAAAAATGTCATACACACACCTAATGAGGAAAAGGAAGTAGCACATATGTCTAGTATGATAGTGCATTTAGAGAGCGTTAAGTAGACAGAGAAGTTAGAAGACAAGGTCGTCAACCCTACAATCTTTTTGCATGCAATATTTAGAAATTTGCAAGAGACTGGCTATACAGTAGTAGCAACATAGTAGTCGATGGCGCAATATGGCGCGCGCGCCATGTGCCATGTGGCGCGAAAAACCCTCTGCGCTATGAAAAGGGGCTGTGGCGAGGTGTATACACATGGCGTCGCCATTCCTACGCCTTCGCCATTCCTGCGCCTTCGCCATGGCGATGCGAATGTTTTTTTGACAAAATGGGTCCGCGCAAGGTTGTCAAGATCGCAGCTTGGATCGGAAATTGCAGCCAGATCGCCGGATCGACGAGTTCACTCGTTAGATCGTGGAATCGTCGATCTCCTTCGATCTGCGTCGTTCGTGTCTGTAGGGAAAGAATACGACGCACAGAGTCGGAATTCCGAAACGAGGCTATGGTCGGAAATCGGAAATGACGTAGACTGAAAGAAGCGACTCAAGTTTTAAAAAAAATAATGACCTGCTAAGATCCAACTCCGCAAGGCGACGCCTTCTTCAGTGTCGCAGTGTGGCCTTCTTCATTCGTATTCTTTAACACTTGTTTTGTTCTTCTTAGAAAACGTTTTTTTCCTTTCTCCGTTACATCTCTCCATTACATCTTCTAGGACTTAAGATTTTTATTTACTAGCTGATTTTTTCAATCCTTTTTCCATATTTGTATTTTTTGTTTTGCGGATTATTTTATACCATTGAAAAATGACATTATGATTAATATTTGAAATTTTTTAAGTTTAAATATATATCTACACATATATATATATAAATATGTATCTAAATACATACATACATACATACATATATATGATAGTTTTGTTTCTATGATAGTTTTGCAGCATCTATTATTCGTTTTGAAGGTTTTATTTTTTTTGTCACGTGGCGACGCCATATTTGCGCCATCGCCATCGCCATGGAAAATGGCCTGTGCGCCATGGGTTGCGCCATGCGCCATGACAACTATGAGTAGCAAGAAGTGGTTGTATGAAGAAGCAACATATGGATAATGAATTAGGAAGACAGGATGTGTTTTTATATTGTGAAAAGTACAAAAAAGGTAATTGTGGTTGTGAGCATTTTCAAACAGGGGTCTCAGATTCATTTTCTCACAAAGTGGGGCATGTGTTTTCGATCCGTTAGCAGTCTTAGCACCCATGGGGCCTCCGTCTAAACTCCCTCGAAAAGAAGGTGACGTACTGACATGTAACTTTTTTATACATCCACGTCATCTTCTTTTTGAAAATGCGCACCACCACAAGTACCTTTTTTGTACTTATTCTTTTTATATTCTACCATTTGAGCCCATCCTATCACACTTTCAAATATACCCCCTCCTTCCGTCCCTTGAGGGGTTTTACAAGTGCATTTGATATGCCTTTTAAGGGAGTGCATGTTGTATAACTTTCCATTGGATACTCATGAGCCATGACAAATAACTGGCATGCTATGTAGAATGGGAAAAACAAAGGG